GAAGCGACACAGCAGGGACAGGGGCTGGAGGGGGCTGCGGGAAAGCGCGGGTGGAAAGGAAGCGAGGTGCCCTCCGAGGAGGCTTTCCGTATGCGAAGAAGGAAACCGGGATAGGGCCCTCCGTCTCCCGCACCCCCGTCGCCTGTCACGATCCGTGGGCAAGACTCTCCCACTCCCGGGGGGCGTACTAAACGGCCAGAGCATGTCCATTGGTAGCAGTGGGGAAGAGGTTGTCTGGAGAAGACCCGTAGGAGACCGACCCTAGGTGCTTTGACGGCCGCTTGGTATATCACTGGTCCCACTGAAATCCGTGCCAGGTTGGACCTGATCTACGTATGTACGAATAGATCAAGGAGTAAACACAGGGAATCGGTCACACGGATAGAAACCGGTGGTTTATTTTCGGCGTTATTACTGTATTTCAATTCTTATTTCCCCACGCTTGTTTGAATAAAATCGGTGCAAAGATGTTCCTTCAGTACCCGCTATCTGGGTGTATATGTGGTGGTGAGGTATATGGAGATTGTGCTGTCAGTGACCACAAACCGTAATGGAGACATACGGTATTTCACCGACAGTGTAGCAGTGCTTGACCTAAACTAGTGCGCTGCTAGCGCTGCTCTTGCAGTGTATTTATATCCTACTAGAGGTAGTCGGCTGCGATGGGAACATAATGCTGGATGAGGTAAATCGCAGGTTTTTAAGGATTGCGTTCGATGGAGTCTAGTCATCTGAACTGGCATTCGTACCTCCCCTTGTTTCATGTGATCCTTAAGATAGTTCCCATCGTTAGTCCATCTAGATTCTCAACTTGTTTTTTTTAAAATCCTTTCATTTGCAAAAAAAATGTGTTGCATTGGTTGCAATACTCCCATTCTCTCAAGATGTTTTAATTTTTATCCTACATTGAGAACGTGAAGAATTGGAAGGCTAGAGCCGTTTGTTTTGGACATCCACATCTTTTAATTGTGGGAGAGAAAAAAAAACTTTTTGCAATTATTCCCCAACAGTTCTCTCCCTGCTTAAGTCGGGTGTCCCCCATTCCTGTAACAAATTGCCAATTCCTCAAAGGGAATAATAGTTAGCTAGCTTTTGTACACGGAGTGAATAAAAAAATGTAGATGCTTTGGACTCTTATCATCAGTCACACAGAACCTTCTGGAGTTTCGAGTATTGTGTCCAAAATGCTAGGAATACAGGACTTCCCTTAGAAAATAATCACAAATATTTAATTTGAGAGAAAAATATGTAAGTGTTCAGCAGTTGTTAGTAAAGGACTGTAATTTACATCACCCATAGGATTGAGAGCCACCGATGGAATATTTACAAAGAATTAGAATTAGAGCATACCCTTCTGCAATATATATCATTTTTGTAATATGGTGTTAGTCTCTACTGGGGTGTAAACACACATGCATGCATGCACACACACACACACACACTTATGTGCCTTCAAGTCAAAACCAACTTGAACTGTGATGCAGTGATTAAACTACAATAATACTACAATCAAGCCTCTGCTCACCACCTGAGTTTGATCCCAATGGGTTCAGATAGCTGGTACAAGGTTGACTCAGCCCTTCTGAGGTTGGTAAAGTGAACACCCAGCTCACTGAGGGGCAAGTTGTTTGCAATATTATGTTGTAAATTGCCCAGAGAGTGCTCCCAAGCACTATGGGGATATATAAGTCGAAACAACAAATGAACTTATAGGAACCTAGTAGAGCTTTTAAGGTGAGATATTTAAGGAGTAGTTTTAAAGTTCCACACCCCAGTGAGTTTCCATAGCTCAGTGGGCATTTGAACCAGGCTTCCTGAATCCTAATTCATCACTCCACTATGCCACACTATCCACATATACAGTATTATAAAAGCAAAGACACACACTAGTATTGTTGCATTGTCTTTGGAAAAGTTGCTGTATGGTCTCTATGCTGAGCACATTAGTTAATACACATTAGATTTAGATTAGGCATCCTTCAGTCTTGAGAGACTATGGTAACGTGTTTTGTATGGAGAATTTGGAACAGGGTCTAGTGTGGCTGAGAAGGCCAATTCGAGAGTGCCAATCCCTTCCACACTGAAAACAAATCCAATCTGTCCCGTCCAGCTCCCTGATTTTGCTGCTTTTGGGATTGCCTCTTTGCCTTGGCCTGCTGGACAAGTATCTCTTCAAAATGAGAGAGGCCATGATGCACCGCCTGCCTCCAGGCTGAATGCTCAGATGTCAAGGTTTCCCATCTGTTGGGGTCCAATCCTAAGGCCTTCAGATCCCACTTGCAGATATCCTTGAATGGCAGTTGTGGTCTCCCTATGGGGTGATTTCCCTGCACTAATTCTCCATACAGGAGATCTTTTGGAATCCAACCATCAGCCATTCTCATGACATGCTCAAGCCTACATAGACGGTCGCTGTTTCAGTCATGTATACATGCTTAAAATTCCAGCTCGTTCTAGGACTACTCTATTTGGAACTTTGTCCTGCCAGGTGATACCAAAAATCCATCAGAGACAACACATATGGAAGGTGTTCAGCTTCCTCTCCTGTCACGCACAAAGGGTCCAGGACTCACTGCAGTACAGGAGTTGCTCAGGATACAGGCCCTATAGACCTGGATCTTGGTATATACCGTCAGCTTCTTATTGAGCCATACTCTCTTTGTGAGTCTAGAGAACATGGTAGCTGTTTTGCCAATGCATTTATCCAGCTTGGCATCTAGGGGTGTTAATACACCTTTTTTTCCCGGAATTTCAGCCAGCCCTTCATTGTTGTTTTAATTGCTGTCTTTTATTATTCATAAGTAACATTTAATGACAATGTCCTAAATGTATTTGTTAATCCTAAACAGAGTAAACTGAGTCAATGGAATTTACGTAACTCGACTTTGTTTGAAGGTTGCCTTTAATTCACTGGGTCTACTCCTGCTGGAACTAACTACTGAATTTAACCCAATTTTGTCTACACATTCTAGTTAGTCAGGACTCAAACTAACTGATGTGTTTTCTTTTGAATATTAATTATAAGTTGACTAATCCATTAAAGCATATTCTATAATATATGTATTAGTTCTTTAAGAATTAGCCATAAGACTTTTATGTAGAAGAGGCAATTTAGAATTACATTGCAATGAATAAAAATATAACTAGTGAATTCAACTCTCTGTAGTAAATGCAATTTGCTACAAATGGTCCATTTTAGATACTTGTGCTATAGCTTGCAGGAAAGATTTAATATGATGCAGAATGGTAAGTACACTAAGCAAAACCTTGTATTATAATATAATTAACAATTGCCCATGTAAGACTAAATAGATTGATGCATTTGGATTTATTGTCAAATATAGCAGTTCACTCCCATATTTCGTTCTCATTTGGTCCATCCTTTCAGAATTGCTGGTTATTGCTTTATCTACAAGCTGTCTCACAATCTGATGTACTGATTAAGAAAATATGGAAATTTTCTATTAAAAATTAGTAATGACATTTTATTCCTTAAAGACCATCTGCACTGTGTTTTTAAAGCCTTGCAAGGGAAGAGCAATAAAGCCTACCTGAATTGCCCACGCTGCGTATGCAGACGTTTCTTGATCAAAGGCAACCCAACTGGACTGTGTGTCCGTATTAGAACAGTATTGTAGACATACATTCCAATATGGTACAAGATCAACTGTTGTTGTTGTTTAGTCTTTAAGTCATGTCTGATTCTTCGTGACCCCATGGACCAGAGCATGCCAGACCCTCCTGTCTTCCATTGCCTTCTGGAGTTTGGTCATACTGTAATTGTAAAACTGTAAAGATCAACTGTAATTAAGCATAATTAAGCACTAGTCAGCCTCACAATGTTGTATTTAAAAGATAACTGGCAAGATATGTTTAGTGATGTGAATGCAGTAAGGCATTTAAAAAACAGATGTCTTTATGAAATACAAATGCTGCTCATGAAATGTAACAGGGATTTCTATTTAGCTTTTTTTTGATAGGCAGATAAAAAGTAATGTAAAGAATCCATGCATCCTGGAAATAGAAAGGCATACTGTAATTTCAAAGAATTACAATTAGAAAACAATTTTGCAGCATTTAAGTTTGAAAGGTATTCAAGCAAAGACTTGAGAAGAATGTGATTCCTGAAGACACTGGGAATTTCCCTCTGAAAGATTTGCCAGCTTGTGCTTTTAAATTAGCCTTATTTATTTTACTCTCAGACATCAAGACTGATTTGCTCCGTAGTATTAAAATATGGAAATCTAGAAAGTAGATCTAAAACAGACCTGTGTTGCCAGCTCCCTATGTAAAAAACTGATACATATGAAAATACCGACTTTACTGATTGTATTGCCTTACTCTTCATAGCCTTATGCAAGTAGTTACATTTTTCCCAGTCACAATTGATGCCTCTGGAGTGAATGAGTTCATTACTATAATAGGGCACAAAGAACTCCTTTCCCCCATTTATGTTTCCACACTGATCTATTCTGAAATGTGACAAAATATGCATCTATCTACATATGTCCAAGCAAAAGGATAGATTTTCTTCAAATGTAACCTCTTCATAGCAGCAACATGTCTCTATATCAATTTGTTATATGTACTACACGAGTTTTTGTTTATTTTTATTGCAGTAGGTGGGCAAGCTCGAAAACTCCTAAAACATATACCACGTGAATTAAAAAACAATAAATCACATGTGATGATTTCTGCAATAGGTATAATTCAATGCACAAAGGCAGCACGCTCAAAATACCTACAGCTACCACACGCAGCATGGGTTTTTAAAATGCATGTATGCAATACGCCTTCCCTCCAAATGCCTCCTTGGTCCCACACTTTATCCGTGGAAAAGGCATACACAGAAATAGCTACCACTTCTCAGATTATATCATGCTGTATTGAGTAACTGCATGATATAATTGCCTTTATGGGAGCATCTTGCACAGGTGGCCTCTCACATCTATCACATCAGATTCCGACAGGTAGCTATAAGGATCTCTTTACAAAGCTCATCCCTGCCCATACAGTGCATGAACAGGTAATGAGGAGTAATGTAATGTAGCTATTTTCTATATGCTGCACCTCCATTAAAGTTTTTTTTTTGTCACAGAGGCGCTATGCACATACACAAGTGCAACCTTGTATAATCATTAAGTGCTGCTAAACCTGTTCTTTTACAATATCCAAATTTCAGCCTGTGCACTCAATATGGGCTTCTACTCTCTCCACTCAAATACAGAACTCTACACTTAACAATACAAAAACCATTCTGTGTCAACTGTCTCATCCCAGATTTCAGCTCATGTCTTGGCACAGTAAGTTTTTGCTGTTATGCTTGGAAAAGACAATTCCACTTATCTTCATCATTCATGCCAAAAGCCAAGAGCCATTCCAGCATTTGGATTGAAGGCCATAGGATGCTCAGAATTATGCAGATAGAGGTCTGAATATCTTATCACATCCTTTTGCCTAAGGAATTACTTTGAGATGAGGCAGTACATATTGATAGGAAGTTTTTCTCTGTGAACAATATATGTAATGAATGAGAAAAAGTTTTGTCTACCTTCATTTTGCTGTTACAGAAACTGAAGTGCATTTTCAACTTCTCTAATAGAAGCCTTTACTGTTACTTGTATTGTAAAAGTTTTTTTTATTGCAAAACTGCTTGGTTTTCATTTAGTTCTTCAGAGGTAACTGATTGGTTGGCAAAGCGCTTTACAAGTTTGATTCTGTAACTTGCAGATAATTTAATTGAAGAGTCTCCTGAGTCTGTTGTTTGCAGTGAGTGTGGTATTGTGAACTGTGTTCTGGGTTCTGTTGCAGGTTTTCCAGATTAGCGTTTCTATTTTCACAAGATTCTTTTTGCTGCATAAATGGGTAAGAACTGTAGTAAAGAGTGGTATAGAAATGATAATGTACTGAAATATGAAAGCTGGAAGAAAACAGGTCCTTAAGTAAACTCTTATAAAGGAAATGAAAAGAGATTTACAGGGAAAAAAACCTGGAGATTATTTCTCTTAACAAAAAATTACTGGGGAAAATTGCTAATCACATTTTTGAATGAATTCTTCTGGTTCCTCATAGGTTTTCACTTAGCAAGAGTTAGGAAAGTCAGGTCAAGCTACATTAAAACTATTGAAGCAAAAATCTCAAATAAAGGTTAATCTTTGGCAAACTGAAAACAATGACCAAGGGAAGCAATTTCCAAAGATGCTTCTTCAAAACAGGGAGAAGAAACAAACCAACTAGTTCTATGATTTCTTACTATTGTTTGTCTCTACTCTCTTTTTGTGTTTATGCATGAAGACTTTTCCTCTTTCTCATTTTTGTATCATGTTTTTTGACCATATTTAAGTAAAGAGAAATAAATGTTTTTGCTTTGATGGAAAGAACGCCTTTTTAATGTGCTTTAACGGGAAACAGGGCTGGCATAAATGACCAACTTAGCTTGGACTTCTAAAGCCAGTATGGCAAGTATTGACCAGGTTACTTAATAATCTTCCAAAACAAATTTGATACTGGACAGTGCAGTGTGACACTGCTGGCAACTGAGAAAGCACAGAGGCAGTCTTTTCTACACAGCATGTCCTTTAATGGTGCCAAAAACTACACAGCTTTTCAGGATAAATATCCTTTTACTTTTGTTTTATGAAAACAGAGCTAAACAGCTGTCCCGCTGGCCACATGGAATCAACATGTATGATTCAGAACCACCATGTTCAATATATTTTTGTTTTTGCTAAAAGCCCTGAAACTCATAGAGTCCAGGAACAATAAAAAATACATTTTTGACACAAAGCTAGAGCTTATTTACAATTTCTCTCACTGGTTAATTCCACTACCATCAAGTAACAGAAGTCTAACATGCAGGGCTACAAACACTGGGCTGTAATTTTATCTGAAGTCTGTTACAAAAGAGGTTAGACATTGAATCAGTAGCAGGTTTACTTCTACCTTTGGCAGATAACAGAGGTTTATGCTGGGCAGAGAAAAAAGACAGATTTTACTTCAAAAATAGGATTTAACCTGCTCATGTACAGAAAGTATACATTTGACAAGCACTTCTTAGATTTAAACAAACAGCCTTTTATAGAATCCAAGATTTTCTCAACAACTGTACCATTTCAGAACAATTTAGAAAAGAAATGACATCAAAGAATGAATTGGACAAGAGAAGACAAAGAGCCTGAAGTACATCCTGTTACTGTATTCTGTTATCTAAGCAGAGTGGCTTATTTATTTCCCCCATTCACCCTTTATTAACGAACAGTAAGTATTTTGATAGAAAACTACCACAGAGAATTTCCACTCCACTTCTATTAACCATTCTGCAAAAAGACCTGCTTATGATAATAGTGACTTCAAGCATATCTGGGCCATTTTCACACAAAACCTTATGTGGTAACAGATGGACTACTTCAAGTTTAACAAGTTTATGCAATGAAGAGGCTTAAAGGATCAATTTTAAGAAATCACCCAACATAAGCTCTTAAGGAGAGATAAAGACAGTGCAAAAGCCAACCAAAAATGTCTTGAGATAATTTTATTTCTTCCCACTCTATCCAGTAAGAACCTCCTCATGGTTTTCCGTTCCCAGGACTTCCCTCCCTCCCCATGGGGGTAGATTACAGAAAAAGCTCCATTTAGTTGGTCAGCTCTGAGGTGGCTCTAAATGACCACTGTTGGGTCTCTGTTTTGTTCTGCTGGAATTTCAAAAAGGGAAACTGTCCTTCTGTTATTCAATCAGCTTCTTGGCCTTGAAAAAATGACGCAGATAGAAGACCTGCCAAGTAGCTAGTCCAATAAGGCAAAACATGGAGAAAATGCTGAAATATAGTACCCGAGTGTTGGTAGATTCTGTAAATAAAGACAAAATAAATATTGTTATTCAAAGAAAAACTAAGAAGCCCCAAGTCCCTTGATGATTTCAACACAATGAATAAATGATCTTGTATTTTTTTCCACTTGAACTGCTGACATAACAATAAGCACCAAAGGCGGAGATACAACTCATGATCCTAGTTCTCAAGGCTACAAAAATAATAGAGCAGTATGTACAGAAAGCCTAAGTGTTTAGAGAGGGAGCATCTCTGCCCTGCATCAATGTTTGTCTTTACCATGTTTTTACACTCTTGCTGTCACCCCCATGGCTGTATCTCTTCTGATTCATCTCAATCCTTTCTGGAGTTGGGTTTTTCCTCCCAAACTCTACAAAGAATTAATCAGAAGGCAACAAGCACACTGCATTTATATATATATTTAAAAAGATGATTATCACATGAATATTATTTTGCTAATTTTCTCTCAAACACACAATTTGAGTTCTCTTATGGTATGGAGAACACTATTTGTGGTGATAAAAAGAACATGATGGGAATCTAGTGACAAAGAATGTCAAGAATGTCTAATGACAAAGAATGGGGATTGCAGTCCAACACCATAGAGGGACACACACACACACACCAGTTTACTGACATAGAAGTACTAGCCCATGTTATAAAAAAGTATATACGGTGCTGGAACATTCAACTATCATGATAACCTGTTCAAAAGTTTGCTGATAGTTTGCTTAGCAACAAATGGACTGATCAGACAATCTTATCAAATTATTATTAAAATTACCAGACATCACCCTATATCAGCGATGGTGAACCTACAGCACACATGCCACAGCTGGCACGCAGAACCCTTTCTACGGGCACGCAAGAGATAGGTCGCCGGATTGCGACTCCCCCCACCCAGCCTAACCTCAGGAGGCGGCTGCAGCCGCAGTGCTGACACTTCAACAGGCAGCAGGCCAGGATCCGGAGCAGCTGGCGCTGGTGGCGGATCCGGAGTGTGGTCTCGAGGCACCTCTGTGCCCAGGATTCCCCCTTCCGCCGCGGCCCACTGGGGTATAAACCACCCCCCCCAGTTTGGGCACTTGGGCCCAAAAAGATTCGCTGCCACTGCCCTAAGTCTTAGTAAGAGATAAACAATGCTATTCCCTGAATTGGAAGCACACAAGTACTTACCGTTGGTATCCCGCATCTCCTCCTCCCGCTTCTTCATATAGGCAAAATCATTCACAATGGACTCTGAAAGATCTTCTAGCCTTCGCAGCTCCAGCTCCAGAGGCTTCAACTTTTCCACTTTAGCAATCTGTCAAAGAAAGATACTTCAGATCAATGAGCTACAAGACACGGGCCCCATTCAAGTTTGGACAGCAGTTTTCTAAGACCCAAGAATCAACACATGGCCTTGCTGCCAAAATGAGAGTTATTCCCAGTCAGATGTGTTGAGTACAGAGCTGCTGCTTCTTTTTAAAGCACAGTTGAATATTAAATATGTGTTTGTGCTATGTGCTAGGGTTTTCAAAGCAAGAAATATGTTTAAGGAGTGGTTTTACCAGTGCCGCACATACACCTAGTCGTTTCCATGGATGTGAGAATTTAACTCCAAGTGTCCTAATCCATTACTTTATCCACTACACTAAGGGTAATAAATGCCATAACAAAAAAGCATTGCTGCGCATCATTCGAAACATAAACATTTCTCTCAGCATCTGTGGAATTCTGAATTCATGTCAGATTAATTTTTAGGGTACAGTTTAAGAACAAGACTGTGTCCCTGTCTTTTGAATGCACAGTGTTGGCCCAAAAGTATAGCTGGTCAGAGCTTGAAAATGTTACTTTTTCAGACAACTTCCAGAATACCCTGGCAGCCACAGAGTCAACATTTTAAACAAGAGGATGCAATGATCTGAAAGTGCACACAAACCTTGTGCTCTACTATCGAGCTATGCTTCCTCTTGTTTCCTTTTGACTGCTTAATCTTAAAATTGCCACAATTCAAACCGTTATATTAAAATAATGTAGGAACTAAAATTATTTAAGTAGTGATGGCATTATCTTCCCCCTTGTTTCAGTGATTTTTAAAAGAAAACACATGAAGAGAACAGAGTTTTTGTGACTACCAGAAGGACTCTTCTTCTGATGTTTCAGGAACCAGACAAGGAAAATATCATGCCTAGCTAAATGGATTAGCTAACTGAGAGTGGGCAAAATCCTGTTCACAAAGAAATACTAGTGTAAACTAGATCCAGGCATCAGAAAAAATCAGTATAAACAAACTGAAAGCTTCCAATCTCCTTCTTTTCAGGTTCTGGGGCTCCTTAGAACTCTCTTTTGCTTCAGGGAAGGCTTTGGGAGCCTCTGGAGTGCAAGGGAGAGGGGAGTCTTTAATAATAAAAAATTACAACTGGATCAATGCTACCAGGATCAGAACTGCCAGTGGTGACCTGGAAAGAGAGCCTTAGAACCTGGAAGGGGGAGGTTAGGAAGCTTTCAATTCATTTAAATTGATTATTTTTAGTGCTCGGATATGACATAACTACATGAAAAGGCCCCTTCATGGATTGCTGCCTTGTCGTGGCAAAGGGGCTTGAGTAATTCAGCTATGGGCTATGCTGTGCAAGGACACCCAAGACGGCCAGGTCATAGTGGAGAGTTCTGACTAAACACGGTCCACCTGGAGCAGGAGCTGGCAAGGCACTCCAGTATCTTTGCCAAGAAAACTCCATGGACAGAAGGTAACAGTAAAGGTTCCCCTTGACATTTTTTGTCCAGTCGTGTTCGACTCTAGGGGGCAGTGCTCATCCCCGTTTCCAAGCCATAAAGCCAGCGTTTTGTCCGAAGACAATCTTCCGTGGTCACATGGCCAGTGCGACTTAGACACGGAATGCTGTTACCTTCCCACCGAGGTGGTCCCTATTTATCTACTTGCATTTGCATGCTTTCGAACTGCTAGGTTGGCGGGACCTGGGACAAGCGACGGGCGCTCACTCCGTCACATGGATTCGATCTTTCGACTGCTGGTCTTCTGACCCTGCAGCACAGGCTTCTGCGGTTTAGCCCACAGAACCACCACGTCCCTCCATGGACAGAAACAAAAGGCTAAAAGATATGATGCTGGGAGATGAGCCCCTCAGGTCAGAAGGTGTCCAACATGCTACTGAGGAAGAGCGGAGGACAAGTACAGTGGTGTCTCGTTTGACAACGATAATCTGTTCCGTTCAAATCGCTGTTAAATGAAATCATCGTCAAGCGAAATTAAAAAACCAATTAAAATGCACTGAAAACCATTCAATGCATTCTAATGGGCGAAATACCTCATCGTAAAGCGAAGATCCTCCATAGGGCGGCCATTTTCCGTGCCTGTATAGTGAGGAATCAGTCCCTAGCACAGCAGGGAGCCATTTTGACAGCCGCTGATCAGCTTTTCGAAAACCATCGTAATGCAAAAAATCAGTTCCCGAAACAGGGAACTGATCATCGTCAAGTGAATTTTCCCCATTGAAACCATCGTTTTGCAATCGCAATTTTAACGGAACGGATTATCATCGTCATGCGGGGCACCACTGTACACTGAACCTTATCTGCTGGTAGAGAGGGAGCAAGATGGACATATATGATAAGAAATTAAAACTCAATTCTGTGTTATGGCTGAGGATTAGATTCGATAACATTTTACTCTTTATTTTTAAATTAAAGCTAGGATTTTTATAGTTACAATGCTGAACATGTTTTGAGTAAACCCAATTGACTATAAAACCAACCAAGAGTTTTGTAGCACCTTAAAGACTAACAAGTTTTATTTAGCATAAACTAAATTATATAATGTACAAAAATGCAATCCATTTCTCTAGATGCAAAAGAACTATAGTTCATGACTATACAAATAAAACTGTTTATCTGTAAGAGGACACACAACTCTTTGGATCCACTGCAACAGACTACAAATTAACGCAAGTACTTTGCAGAGATTACCACTATGGAACAAATTTCTCAATAAACACACACAAAATTGTACTGTGATGGTTTGGTTCTATTTTTTTCCAAGTCATCACATATATCCCAGTAAAAAAGTAATCTAAGCTGTTCAGTAAATCTGATCCCATTCTGCTAGTGCCTGAGCAATACATTCAAAGGCACAAGGATGATTCACAATGAAGGGGCACTGTAACTTCCTGCGCAATTTCCCTCTCCTACAATCACTAAAGCCATTTAAGGCAAAGGGCAAGGCAACTTTATTTCCTTCTTTTGTCAATTATATCAAAGGAATTTTGTTCAGTGTTCTCATGATTAACTGCATTGTTTTCTTGCCTGGTGGGTTTTTCTCTCTCCTGTGAACCACAATGATGGATACAGCATATTACTTCTCCAACCCACAGGAAGTTTAGTGGGCTCTAGTTAGTTACTTTTTAATTTTCCTTTAAAAAATCTTTAACAGAATAAAAACAGTTATGTAAACTTCAATAATATTAATATGTCTCATAAAAAACAAGCAGAAACCTATCTCGAAAGAATGGTATTAGAGAGTAAACCCCAGTGAACACAGCACAACTTACATATATCCAAATAGGCTGTGTCAAATTTAATTCTTAAAGTAGAAGAATGAACACAGAACAAGTTTACTACTATAAGTGTGTCAAATTTAATTCTTAAAGTAGCAGAATGAACACAGAACAAGTTTACTACTATTACTATTTGTTGCATAGCCACAAGGAGGCAGTGAAACCACAGTAATAGCACACAGTACAGTGACTTTTAGGCTAGCAATCTACTGGGTCTAGTCGGGACTAGCAACAGGATATTTGCCTTAAAAACTTAGCAACACTGCAGGATTGCTGAGTTCTTTGAGTTCTTGTATTTTAGTTTAAAGGACAGGGATGGGGCCTAAAATGCTACTAAGCAGAATCTGGTAGATCCAGGAAAATCCTACATGCTGTGTACAGTTTTTACAAGTAAGATTTTACAAGTAAGATGCCGGGGGTGGGGGTGGGGAGAGAGACAAAATGTTCTGTTTAGCAAGACAAACAAGTGCATTAACAGCAGTTTTTGTAAACCAAACAAACAACTCAAAGAGGTCTGAATAAACTAGTGTACACCCATTCATGAGGATATTGGATACTTTTGCCATACTGTATCTTTATGCTCTGACACAATTCCTTATTGGATTCTGATGGTCAATTGTTTCTGTTTTCTCTCTCTTTTAGGAGGCACTGAGATAGACACACATCTAGGACCAGCTGTTAAAACCAGCACTTCTCAAATGTGCGACCTATTATGACTGAAATTATTCTCTTGCTGATTTCTTCTAATCATCAATACAACTGGTACAGTAAGTAATAATCAGAATAATCAGCACAAGTAAGATGTAAAATCTCTTCTATGCATTATTTTCTCAACTTCTGTTTAGGATTAACCCAAGTGAAGAAAACACTATCCATATTGTTATTTGCTAATAAAAATGCAGAAATATACATTTTGCTGTAACAGCAAAATTTGTATACAGAGTGCAAAAGCAGCTTCTGCCTGCAGCGTACTCTCTGTCAATGGAGGTTTTATTTGGGTATCTTGGTCAGGATATGCTGAGTAAACTATCCTCCACAGTATTCTCACCTCTGGGATGCTCTCAAACAACAACACCTTTCTGCTCCATAGTTTTCTCAGTACAGTGGTGCCCCGTATAGCGAGGTTAATCCGTTCCGGATTAACCTTCGCTATACGAAAACGCAAGACAAACAACTGCATTAACAGCAGTTTTTGTAAATCAAACAAACAACTCAAAGAGGTCTGAATAAACTAGTGTACACCCATTCATGAGGATATTGGATACTTTTGCCATACTGTATCTTTATGCTCTGACACAATTCCGACCTGGATTCTGATGGTCAATTGTTTCTGTTTTCTCTCTCTTTTAGGAGGCACTGAGATAGACACACGTCTAGGACCAGCTGTTAAAACCAGCACTTCTCAAATGTGCGACCTATTATGACTGAAATTATTCTCTTGCTGATTTCTTCTAATCATCAATACAACTGGTACAGTAAGTAATAATCAGAATAATCAGCACAAGTAAGATGTAAAATCTCTTCTATGCATTATTTTCTCAACTTCTGTTTAGGATTAACCCAAGTGAAGAAAACACTATCCATATTGTTATTTGCTAATAAAAATGCAGAAATATACATTTTGCTGTAACAGCAAAATTTGTATACAGAGTGCAAAAGCAGCTTCTGCCTGCAGCGTACTCTCTGTCAATGGAGGTTTTATTTGGGTATCTTGGTCAGGATATGCTGAGTAAACTATCCTCCACAGTATTCTCACCTCTGGGATGCTCTCAAACAACAACACCTTTCTGCTCCATAGTTTTCTCAGTACAGTGGTGCCCCGTATAGCGAGGTTAATCCGTTCCGGATTAACCTTCGCTATACGAAAACATCGCTGTGCGGGTAAGGAAAACCTATTGGAACGCATTAAACTTAGTTTAATGCGTTCCAATAAGTGTGCAAACTTACCCCTCCAGCGATGTTTTCGCGTCCGGCGGCCATTTTGGAGCCGCCGATGATCCGAAATGCCCCCCCCGCAGCGTTTTCGCGACCTCCGTAAGCAAGGGGAGGGCGTGAAAACGCTGATAGGGGCCATTTCGGGGCATGCGGCAGCTCGGGCCATCCGCGGCCATTTTGGAGCCGGCGATCAGCTGTTCGACGGCTCCAAAATGGCCGCTGGACGCCCCAATTGTCGCAAAGCGAGTGCGGCGATTGGGGCTGATCCGTATAGCGATCCCCAAAAAGGGATCGCTATACGGATTTTTCATTAAACGGTGCACTCGTTAAGCGAGGCACCACTGTATTTTTAAATTACTGGAGTTTGTGCCTGAGGTTTGCACATACACTCTCTCCCTTATAATTTTAGAGCCCACAATTATCCTTTCTGGCTGAGAATTGATTGGCAACACTAGCCAAATGAGAAGAATTCTTCAGAAAGCCTTCGCATGGCATCCATGGGCACTTAGCAGGAGACAGGACTATATAAGCTCCAAGATCTCTTCCAATCCTTCAAGTATGTAATAGAGCTATTTTTTTATCATCAATACATTAGACGTGCATGCATCATGTAACAGTATATAAAGGTTTTGATTCATTTTAAAAATGAGAGAGTAATGTAACAGCACCTGGCACTTGCTAAGCCAAGTTGCTTGCAATTTTAAAATGTGACAAAATACACTCAAAGTGATCACACGGCATTGATACAATCAACTATCCTATAGGAGCAATATGAAGGGAAAACATTCTATTGCAGATAATATCTTGGTAGAATAAGAAATGTATGAGCAAAGTAAGAAAAATGCAATAATACATTCTGTCATTCTGCATCCATAACTACGGTTTCCGAAGCCACTATGCCTTCCCAATCCAAGTTCTCTTAGCAAAATAGACAATGAAATCCTTCCTGCACTGAGATAATATCTATATATGAAGAGTTACGAATGAGAGAACCTTAAATGTCACTTTTCATGTTTCTTTTAAATGTATTTTGTTCCTGTAGAGTTTGTACAGAGAAGGGGCCTGAAATTTAGGAGAATGATCTGACTGCCAGAATGTAGAATGAAAGGAAAATGCTTGCAGTTTAGTGATAAAATACATGTTGTGAACATACTGCAAGTCACTTTGGTTTGCATCACGTGAACAATGTGAGGCAGTTTTGTATCAATTAACCAAATGGCCAGTCACATATTCCAATTGGCAGCTGCTCTCTAATGATTCAGGCACGGATATTTCCAGCTCTTTCTAGACCCATTTAACTGGAGGTGTCCAAGACTGAACCAAAGGCCCTCTATATGCAATGTAATAGGTTCTAACATGAAGTAAGCAGACGTAAACCTTGCATGATCTACTCCTGCTAGAATATTGAGATTTGCAAAGCAGGATCAGATGCAAAATGCTGCTCATGGAAAGAAATGCACAGTAAGGTTGCAATCTTATCCATGCAAGTCTAGTCAGTGTCTACTAGTCAATATGTTTATGAACTGACTCCACTCTCAGAGGCACAATGTTTTGTGACATCAGTTGCTAGCGAACATGACTGGAAAAATGCTACTGTGTTCATGTCTTGCTTGTAGGCTTTCCACAAGCTTTTGCTCTATCACTGTACTATTCATAATCCTTCACATATACAAAACTCAAGGTTCAGTCTCTGAAGTCTCTAACCAAAGAATATCATCATGATTGGGAAAGAGAGTCAAGAGTTCTAGGTTAAAAGATCAGTGGTTTAACAAGTATTAAGCAGATTCATGCACATATTGTCAGAAGATACTAAGTCTGACAATAAATGTAGTTATATCTGTAAAGTGTAGTTAATGAGTAATTTCATGATTCAAACTTTATTATATTTACAGTGGTGCCTCGCTTAACGAGCGCCTCGCTGAGCGATGAAATCGCTTAACGAGGCGCTCTGGGCCATCGCTGGAGCATTCGCTCAGCGATGGCCCCTATGGGGATTTTTCGCTTTGCGATATTCGCTAAGCAGAGAATAGCTGATCGGCGGTTCCAAAATGGCCGCCGGAAGGTCCGCGCCACATTTTCGCGCC